CGGGGGCGGGGCTTCCTGCCTCAGCCTCTGGTCTGAACAAAACCCGGCAAAGGGCGAATCCAGATTCGGACACCAGCAGCCTTAGGAACCTCTGTTGCTACCCCATCTCCGGTGCCAGTGCCTTTCTTTCTCTGCTTCAGCTCTGACCCCCCCCGCCCCCATTGTGGGCCTCTCCCACCTTCCTCATGGATGCTCTTCTCACCCCACTTGAGCTCCAGCACCCCGACGCAGGCCACCCTCTGTGTGAATGCCTTTCTCATACTGACGCCAGATAAAATACAGGATGTTCAATTAAATTTGAATTTCAGATAAACTACAAATAATCCAGGCAGGATTCTCAAATCAAATTTTTAAGTACATTTGTACTTAAAAATTATTGTTTACCTGAAATTCAAATATGACTGGGTGTCATGTATTTTGTTTTGTTTTTCTTAGTCACTGAGCCATGCCTACCATATTGATCCCTATGGAATCCTAAGTGGTTCAAAGAACCCCAAATGGCAGGGCAGGGACTCCTGGTTGTGCACACCAGAGACTTTACCCAGTTTTGGAGTCCATTGACTCCCCGAACACTTGTTTCCTTTCACCAGCTAGGTGTTTCAGGAGGCTGATGCCTCGAGCGAGAAAGCAGGGAGAGTCCCTGAGTTAAAGAACTCTTGGCAGCTGCTGGGAAGTTTCTGCAGTCCCTGCCATGGGATCAGTCTGCTATGAGCTGCTGGGAACCCAGCCCAGACCCTCTGGGACTTACCAAGGTCCACTTATCCTGGCTGACTTACCAAAACTGTGACCAAAACCCAAGTTCAGCTGTTTGCAGCCTCGAAAACCAAATTCATGAGACAGATGTTGATGAAAAAGGAAAGTGGTTTATTCAAGTGCTGGACAACTGAGACGATGGGGGGCTCTTGTCACAAAGCCCATCTCAACATCTCAGTGCAGGCAGGGGTTTTTATAAGGAGGGAGAGGGAAAGCAGTACAAAGAAATCAAGAGGAAAGGTTTGAAAAGTTCTCTACATGCAGTCCAGTCCAGTCCATTCCAATAAGGACCTTGAAACTGGTCAAGTGGTGGTCTGGTGTGTGTCATCCTGGTTCTACAGTTGAAGTTCAGCAAATCTCCTGGAACTGGGATAACTGAAGGCCAGAGTCTGTATCTTCTGAAGTTAGTTCCTAGGACTTTTTTTGTTAATTCTCACCCAAGGATATTTTTTCTATTGATTTTTAGAGAGAGTGGAAAGGAGGTACAGAGAGGGAAGAGGGAGAGAAAAAGAGAGAGAGAGAGAGAGAAACATCAATTTGAGAGAGACAAATGAATTGGTTGTCTCCCACACATGCTCCAACTGGGGCGGGGATCAAATCTGCAACCCAAGTATGTGCCTTGAAAAAGGAAAGTGGTTTATTCAAGTGTCAGACAACTGAGAAGATGGGGGGCTCTAGGTGTGCCCAGTAGACACCTGAGGGCTTTTAGCACTGGGCAGCTTCTGCTGTAAAATGAGCAATAGCTCCCCCTCCTTTCCTTAGAAAACTCTCTTAAAGCCAATGACGAAAGGAGCTTACAAAAATCTTGGTGATGTCCTACAAAGCCAGAAACAAAGTTTGTTTTTTAAAGATAATTCCTACCATTACTCTCTGCTTAGGTGCCATATAATTGAGGAAAACTCATTTTAACGATGTAGATAAAAATCAGAACTTACCAATAAATCACCCCTGGGTTGTGCTTATTTGTATCCAACCCCTCTAGACCTTAATATTTTTACTACCAATATGGAGAACATGGGTGCAAATGCCAGAGTTCTCAGGAGCAAGAGTGGCCTCTGGCATGGAGAAGAGGCACAGGTGAGGAATGTCCCAATAAGATAGTTTTCAGTTTTCCTTATTGAACTTTTTGCATAGGCTTAGGAATAGACTTGTAATGAGGGAAGAAGTCAAATTCATTTCCTCTTATGGTAACTAGCAACCATATCATGTACTTTACAAATTATGTATTTGAAGAAACGATACCATGGAATGAATCAAAATTAAAATATTGGAAAAGATACAGAAAGTAAATGGGTCTCTTCTGAGAAATGAAAACCCCAAGCAAAGGTATAAGATCTGAATTTGTACTGGTCACATGGTATGAAATTATGAAGCCTAGATATTAGTATAAAAATGGGTCTCAAATGGGATGGAATTCCCAAGAGCTGTGACAGAAGCAAATGTAAAATCTCTCTTGGGTACACTTTTATGAGTCAAGGCGCATGGAACATCTAAGAAACCAATGCACCTTGCTAAAACTGTGCTCACAATTAAAAATTATAGACTGCACAAGAAAACAATCCACTGTGAGATAGAGTCAGGACACAATAAATTGGAAAATTAGCACCCCAAGAACTTGAGATGATAGAGACTAAAATAATCAAGAGACCATAAAATAAGAAAACACAGAAGGAATAGGTTGCTTAGTAAAAGAAAGAGGTGTTAGAGTGTGACATAAATAGACATAGTCCTACAACTCACTAATTTATAATGGATTCAAATTGAAACAAAAAAATCCAGGTAAGTTTCAAATTTTTTGATTGTTATTACTTTGGAATGAATTACCTGTAGGGATTATGGAAACTGAATTATGTGATCCTCATAAGATTATATTTAAAACCACCTGATGGATTTCTTTTAGATCATAAATGCATAAACTTTTTGTTGATTTTTGAGCTGCTATATGAATAAATTTTTCCATCAAAATGTTTTTCTAGTTTTTAACTTTTTTCTAATTATAAAAAGAATACCTCTTTATTATTTGAGACAAATTCTGAAATACAAAGAAGAAAAAAATATCAATAGTCTCACTACTGTGAAAGATGATTAACATTTTAGTATATTCCCTTCCAGTTCTTGCTGTACAATGTGTTTTTTTGGAGGTGAACTTATACTGCAATACAATGTAGTATACCCTTTATTTTATAAATTTAACATTTTGTCATAATTATTTCCTCATAACATTAAAACTTGTTATAGATAAAATTTAACTCATTACATAATATTCCTCATGGATATACCATTTATTTCATATTGCATATTGAGATTGCTTTAATTTTTTACTCATAACTATGTAGTAAATATTTCTGCATAAATTTTTATAGGGTTGGTTATGTCCTTAGGCTATATCTAGGATTTTTATTTTTAGTTTTTTTAATTAAATTTATTGAGGTGGTGTTGGTTAATAGGATCATATAGGTTTCAAGTGTACATTTCTGTGATACATGATCTGTATATTGCATTGTGTGCCCACCACCCAAAGTCAAATCATTTTTTGTCACCATATATTTGGCCCCCTTTACCCTTTACTACCCCCAACCCTTTCCCTCTGGTAACCACCATACTGTTGTCTGTGTCTGCTTTCTTGTATACTAACAACAAAACTTCAGAAAAAGAGATGGAAAAGAAGTTCCTTTTGCAATTGCAACCAAAAGAATAAAATACCTAGAAATAAACTTAACAAAGGATGTGAAAGGCTTATACTGAAAACTACAAAGCATTACTAAAAGAGATTGAAAAAGACACAATGAAATGGAAAGATAATTCATGTTCATGGACTAGAAGAATCAATACAGTTAAAATGGCCATAGTACCCAAAGCAATATACAGAGTTAATGCAATCCCCATCAAAATCCCAATGTCATTTTTTAAAGAAACAGAACAAAATATCATCAGATTTGCATGGAGCCATGAAAGACCCTGAATAGCCAAAGCAACCCTGAGAAAAAGAATGAAGCAGGAGCTATCACCCTACATGACTTCAAGTTGTACTACAGAGCTACCATAATCAAAACAGCATGGCATTGGCAGAAAAACAGACACACAGAATTGAGAGCCCAGAAATAAAACCACAGGTATATGGGCAGATAATTTTCATTAAAGGAGCCAGAAACACTCAATGGAGAAAAGAAAGCCTCTTCAATAAACGATGCTGGGAAACTTAGCACATACAAAAGAATAAAACATGGATGGACCTGAAGAGTATTATGCTAAGTGAAATAAGCCAGTCAGAGAAAGACAAATACCATATGATCTCACTCATATGTGGAATCTAATGAACAAAATAAACTGATGAACAAAATAGAAACAGAGGCATGGATACATGGAACAGACTGACAGTTGTCAGAGGGGAGCAGGGAGGGGGGACTGGACAAAAGAAGGTGAAGGGATTAGCCAAAGAACACATATGCATAACCCATTGACACAGATTAGAGTGCGGTGATGGCCAGAGGGAAGGGGGGATGGGTGGAGG